ACTGTTCTAGTAGGTATAAGTTCATTCTTCTCATTTGGTACAACAGTGACTCCACCCTTTTTAGGTACACATTGTACAGGATTGACACAGGTACTACTAGCAATAGGATAAATTATGCCAGCGTCAAGCCATTTTAAAATTTCCTTTTTGACAACCTCTTTCATAACAGGACTGAGTCTTCTTTGAGGCTCAACGGAGGTGAAACTTTTGTCATCCAAGATAATTTTATGTTGACAAATGGTGGGACTTATCCCCTTGAGGTCGGCAATTGTCCATCCTATGGCCTTGGTATGAAGTTTCAACATGTCAACCAAYTTTTCTTCTTGGTCAGCTTCTAATGATGATGAAATAATGACTGGTAACTTCCCTGAATCTCCTAAAAAGGCATACTTCAGATGTGAGGGAAGTTGTTTTAACTCTAAATCTGGGGCTACATCTAAGGAAGGAACAAGAATCTTCCTATCCTCAGATTCTAAAACTTCAAAAGAAGCAGATTCTTATGGTGTTTCTAATTCCTCAAAATCTTCCTCTTCATCACTATCAGTCTCAGATAAACCTAAGATTTCCCCCAAACTTTTCTCTTGACACCAGGTTTCTATCAGACTCAAAGCAGAACACTCTTCTCTTTAATCCGGGTACCTAAGGGAATTAAAAAAATTAAAAATCACTTGTTGGTCTTGGACTCTCATGGTTAATTCTCCCTTCTGTACATCTATCAAGGTTCTACCAGTAGCTAGAAAAGGTCTCCCTAAAATGATGGTAATGTCTTTGTCGACTTCAAAGTCTAGGATGATAAAATCAGCTGGGAAAATAAACTTATCAACCTGAACTAGGACATCCTCAATCTTTCCTCTAGGATAGGCTATGGAGTTATCAGCTAATTATAGAGATACAGTCGTAGGTCTAGCTTCACCTATGCCTAGGGTATTGAAGATAGATAAAGGCATCAGGTTTATGCTAGCACCTAAGTCGCACAGAGCTTTTCCTATTTCTTTTCCTCTAATTGAACAAGGGATTGTAAAAATTCCCGGATCTTTCATCTTAGGAGGAATTTTACTGGACAACAGAGCACTGCAACCTTCAGTCAGAGCTACGATCTCGTATTCAGTCAACTTTTTCTTTTTGCTCAAAATGTCTTTTAAAAACTTTGCATAACTTGACATCTGCTCAATAGCTTCAACCAAGGGTATGTTTATGTGCAACTGGTTAAAAACATCAAGAAACTTTTTAAATTGTAATTCTTCCTTCTGATTCCTTAATCTTTGAGGATACGAAATATAAGGAGTGACTGGAATAGGTGGCGTAGTCTTTTGAAGAGTTGGTGCAGGAATCGGTTTCAAAACTGGTCTCACAATTGGTTCTTATTCAGTCCTAACAGGTATCAAAGGACTGGTCTGGTCTTTTGTTGCGGGACTGTCACCAGATTGTGACACATCCACTACAACACTTTCTTTGGGAGTCTGAGTTGTCTTGGGTTTATCAGGAAATAACAGTGGAAAATCTGATCTTTCTGGAATGGYCGKACTATCTATGGGCCTGACTATGGGTTGCGGCTCACTAGTACTCACAGGAATGGTAGTCACARAATCTGGTACAGAGGTAACAGAATCTTGTTCTACACTTTTCTTTTCAATCTCTTCTTTGTTTGGTTCTTTTCGTTCTTTTTGGGTGTTTTCTAAATAACTCTTTCCACTCCTTAAAGTAACAACCTTAACATGCTCTTTTCCTTCTCTTTGAGGTATATCTGTATCACTGGGTAGAGAACCAACGGGTCTTTTTCTAATCTCCAAAGCCATTTGTCCCATTTGAGTTTCGAGATTTTTAGTTGAAGCTTGAGTTTGGGTTATAAAACCCTTCATCATTGCTTCCAAAGAAGTAGATGAATCAGCTTGCTGTTTGGGCTTGCTTTGGAAAAAAGACTGATGATTCTGAAAATTAGCATGTTGATTATTATGATTGCCTTGATGCGCTTACGAGTGAAAATTAGATTGGCCTTGTTGAAAATTTGACTGTCCTTGTGGTTGAAAATTGGACTGTCCTTGCGATTGAAAATTAGATTGTCCTTGCGGTTGGAAATTGGACTTTCCTTGAGGCTTTTGCATTGGTGGATTAAGAGCTGAACTATGCCACGAAAAATTTGGATGATTTCGCCATCCCAGATTATAAGTTTGTGAAAATGGTCCAGTCTTGTTGACATAATTCACATGCTCGGATTTCCAGGACATTGCTCAAAAGMGTGACCTTCACCACAATACACRCATTGCACTGATTGAACATTGGAATTAAAGGTATTAGCTTCAGATTGCACATGTGGGCTAGATGTTAAATTTGAAATTAGCTTAGTGATCTGAGCTGTTAATGCTGAGACAACATCTACCTCATTTATTCCAGCTGTTTTCTTCAGTGGCATTGCACGTAGGTCAGACCATTGTCCGTTATTATTGGAAATCTTTTCAAGTATGTCAAAACCTTCATTATAGGTACAAGCTGTGAAAGCTCTGCCTGCAGTAGCGTCGAGCATTTGTCTAGCAACGATATTTAAACCGTTGTAAAATGTCTCTAGCTGTATACAGTATGGAATGCCATGGTGAGGGCATTTTCTCAGCAGTTCTTTATACCTTTCCCATGCATCAGGAACTGCTTCATCATCCAGTTGTCTAAAAGTACAAATTTCATTTCTGGATTTGGCATTCCTCGTGGGTGGAAAATACTTTTTCAAAAACTTCTCTGCCATTTCATTCCATGTAGTCATAGAGTCTGGTTGCAAAGAATTGTACCATGCTCTTGCTCGTTCCCTTAGTGAAAATGGAAAATGTTTTAGTCTCAGAGCATCGTCTGAAACATCAGGGATGAGAAAAGAGTCTGTGATTTTCATGAAAGAACGCAGATGAGAATGAGGATCTTCAGAAGATAAACCAGCGTACTGGCCGTTTGTTTGAAGCATTTGAAACATCAGTGGTTTAAGTGAAAAATGGGTGGCACCAATGGTAGGCTTACGTATCCCTGTGTGCAGTTGAGTTAAATTAGGAATAGCGTACGCCATAATGCTACCATTTTTAGCATTTGCAAGACGAAAGATGTTTTGAGCCTCATCCTCATATGGAATATTTGGTTCGTTTCTAAATGTACCTTCTCCGTCATAATCACATTTTCAGCCATTGTTTCAGAGTTTAAAGCTCGAAGAACTCTTTGCACTCTTCTTCGTTGTCTAAAAGTTTGTTCAATATCTGGATCAAGTGGAAAAAATTCACAGTGCGACAGCCTTGGCATGCACGGTGCACTCACAAAAAG